ACAAGACAGAATCCATACATTTTAGCTGAACAAATTCAGTAATATTTTAATTTTATAAACAATATAAGTGTTCTAACATATTTGGAACTAACTTAATGGTGTTCAAATATTATGTGCATCTACTACCTAAAATGACCTAGATTGGAGAGGAGAAAATTCATTAGCTCTGTAATGGAAAATGACACTTGATCTTTGTTCAAAGCCTGAGAAATAACAGTCAATGGAAATGTCCATGACATTATTTTTATAGTAGCATTAATTCATAGTTCTCATAGCTCTGAAAACAAAACTCAGGTCATATTGTTTGAGCTCTCCCTAATGTCTACTGCTGGCTGAGATCTTGAAGCAATGCTGATTTATGTGAAAAAAGATAGGAGGAAGCCAAGAATTTTCACCCACTCCACAATCCTTCGTCACAAAGGAAATTAGTATCTTTTCTTAATTAAGTAACAAAGGGCCATCTTTATTTCACTATGTATCTGGATTTTGACAGTCTCTTCCAAGGTTATCTTACCTCCATGATATAGAATCATTTGTTTGAAGCTGATATACGGATTCTAAGTGAGGTATCAAAGACACAGTATAAACAATAGCTCTATCCATCTAGAAAGTGGATTCTTTTTATAGAAAAGCCTTGGATGGCTGAACAGAATACTCAGGAAGGCCCAGGATCCCAAAGAGTACCTTGTTACTATGAGTGTTCCAGTCAGCGTGAACTGCTGTCATGACAGGTAGCCAAGGATTCCAACACAGCCACCAGAAACACGACTGGCACAGACACTGAATGGGCACTGATGCCTTTTACACATTTTCCAGTGAAAATGAAACTAAAAAGAAAACTCTGCTGAAAATGCTAAATAATATTGTTTAAGAAGAATTAACAAGTATTACAGTTTATTGACAGAGAAACTTGAAGTTGTAAAAATCACACTATATTTCTTAATGTCTGTCATCTAAATGAACTTGAGACCAAATTCATTTTGTCTGATATTGTTACTTCGAACCACCTTATCAAAATGAACTTGCTCATTGTTAACAAATGCATATCATATAAGAACTACAATGGAGTTTCAAAATCACTCAGCTCATAGTTTCCCTATACCCTGTTGTCAAATGGCACACTAATTTACAATATCAGCATTAGAGATGAAGAAGAACAGTCAAGTTAATGAAGAGACATTGGTTTAGTGATAAGTTTGTCAAACATACAAAGAAAGGAAGAACTCGATTGTGCCATCAGCATGTATGTCCTGCTTGAGTTCTCCATGTAAAAGGACCTCAGTGTAGGTGGTTAGAGTCAGGCAAAGTTAAGATTCAAAGAAGCTACTCCTACAATTTGAGATTCTAAGTGAATATCCAAATATATGTAACACATTCAAATGTAGAAAACTTTCCTGTGACATGAGATTATTTCAAAACCATTCTGATGAAATGAGAAAATATTTTAAATCCCTAGTACTGAAAACTGTGCAGCATAGATGGCTTCTTATTATAAGTAACAATTAAGTTTTTATTTAATAGGAATCCACAGGCAGGATTACAAAAAAGAAATACTTTGTAAAATATAACACAGTTGGGGCTGAAGCGAAAGCTAGTTAGGAAAGAACATGGACACATCTTCCTCTTGCCCAGAGGGACCATTTGGCTTCCAGCTCCAGTCAGATGGCTCACAGCTGCCTGTAACTCAAACTCCACTGGATCTTATCTGGTCTCCATGGGTACATGCTCTCACAAGTCACTCACATACACTCTCTAACACACATACTCATGTACATACACACACACTAACATACATGCACACACTCATATACACACATGCAAACATACTCACAAACACATACACTAACACACACATACACACACAATTACATATACACACATACTCACAATACACACACACTCACATACACACACTCACACACCCATACACACATCCATTCACACATAAACATGCACACAAATAATACATTTAAAAAATAAACAATTATATTAAATTACTTAATATTATTGGTGATTAAATAAAAATGATGCCTAAATGATAAACAAATATTTTGGTGCTAAAACATTACATTTTTGAATCATATAGTTCTCTGCATTGCCTGAAGTAGACATGTGTAGAAATAGAAAAGAGTGCAATTAGAAAAATGTTTTTAAGCTTTGTAAATTTGCATATATGGAACAGTCATTTAATTTACGTAGCACAATAGCACAGTGTAGTAATATGCTTCTCTCTCTGTATCTCTCTATATATACGTGTGTGTGTGTGTGTGTGTGTGTGTGTGTGTGTGTGTATTTTATAGGACCTTTCAAGAATACAAATAAGCATGACATTTTCAGCTAATAAGGAGTACACATAGAATACACGGAGTATAAAAAACAAATAATGATGCATGCAAAGCTCTAAACATAAGTAACAACCATTGACTATTCTAGAAGATGGTGGTTTCCAGCTCTTACCTTCTGACCAATGAACGAGCCCAAAGTTACAAAAAACAAAATTGCAGTATTTTGAGTGTAGCCCACACTTCACTGCTATCCTCAATCTTCTTTATTTCAGAAGTCTATCCACGGTGATTTCCTACCCACTTATTAAAAATTGAAAAACAACAGCTATAAACACTTGGAAACAACAGGCAGCCCACTTGGAGAGAACAGACGAGGATGTTTTCTGTGTTTGCCTCGCGTTTCTGACAATCATCTGTATCTAATCTTCCCAGGTTTGACTGGGACTTGCTTACGACAACCTGACCATTGGAGCAGTGATTGAAACGCAGGTTTTGAAGTAACAGATTCTCTCCTGCCACCTTGACATCCAAGTTGAAGAGACGACAGTAGCTGAACATCTTTCACTGGATCTGTTTCTCTCATGAAACAAACCAAATTTTATCTATACTGTGTTCTTGAGATTCTAAATAACTCTAGAATGTGAAAAAAATGCCTTAAAATTCTAATTTGGCCAGCATATGCACAAATATACAGACGGACATATATATGGAGGCAATTTCAATCTAATTCACGTCAGTTGATTATTTTATTTCTGTTTCTGTTTCAGTATTTCTTTCTGGTACATATTTTGATATCTTAGAATCCTGCTAACACTAAAAAAGCTGATTAGCAGAATATATTATATGTTAATATACATACATATGTGTGTATATGACATATGCCTGTATAGGCAATATATATGTATGATATATGAGTAATATATTAATATATATAAAGAGTATATTAGGAAATAAGTGATTTTGAATTGAATGCCATTCTGTCATAATTGCTAAATAAAGAAGAGAATCTTTTAAGTCTTAGTAAAAGTCATTTTATTATTGAAAACCTCTTTTATTTTTTGTGTATAGATCTAAAAAAAACCCAAATAAAAAAATCATACCAACTAGGACAACAGATATCTCTAATTCTGCCAATAGGAGCAGGAAGTGCTCCACCTATGTCCTTTGTTCCATTGCTGCCTACTCACAGCAACTCTCATTTATTTACCTCCCCTGTTAAATACACCAATTACTATGTGTAACAAGCAAACCCATTTCATTATAATTCTTTATATTTTGCATCACTATTGGTTTCTAGCTTTATAAATCAATAAACTTTGCTAATAAAACATGCTTTTTTAAAGGCATGAGAAGCTGACATTTTAATCTTTGGAGCATTATTACTGAGTACTTTTTCTCCCAGCAGAGGATATATGTGATGGGTACAAAGGACTCTTGTGTGCAGAATAGGACATCAGGCCAATCTGCATCTGGGGACTCAATAGTCAGAAACATTACTTCAGTTTAAGCTTCTGTAGAATCAGAGCTGAGGTAATTGAAATCCATCTGCTTGGGCTATATTAACCTTGACTTTTTTTTCTCATTTGATCACTTTTATTGCCCTGTCCCATGAACAAATAAACATGCACGACATTGGAGGATATAGATCCTATTTTCTTCATCTTGTATATAAATACCAAATTGGAACACCATTTGGTAGTTTTTTTTTCAATATTTTTAAATTGTAAGTTGTATATTTTCTGTTTATAGGTGCACATGCATGCACATGAATAGTGTTAGGTATGTGTAGGGGGCATGCGCGCGCGCATGTGTGTGTGTGTGTGTGTGTGTGTGTGTGTGTGTGTGTGTGTGTGTGTACATGGCAGTCAAAGGAAGATGCCAGGCACCAACTGCTCTCCACTTTATGTTTTTTATTTGGCTAGGGTTTCTGCCCAGTGAGTTCCAGAAATCCCTGAACTCCATCTTTCCTGAGCTGGGATTACAGACACAGGCCACTGCACCTGGGTTTTTAGGTGTCTACTAAGGGTCCCAAATTCAGTGAATTTTCATGTTTGTATGGTGGGCACTTTACAGATTGAGCCATCTCCTCAGCCCTGGAAGTTACATCTTTCATATAAATGAATACTTAAACATTCAGAAACATTGATAATTTATAGTCCATATAAACAAAAAGAAAGTCAACATTAGGGAGATTTTTCAAAAGTGAACATTCACAGGATTGAGGACGAGTTTGGGGAGAAGGTTTAACATGGTCAAAACACATTGTATGAAACTCTCAAGTAACTAATAAGACTGCATATTCAGAAGATATGAATCTAATTAGATGATATCAAAAACTAACAGTAAAACCATGTAGGTGGGAACATGCTAATACTATGAAATTTCACATTTTGCTGTTTTGTTGTACTTATTCACCTGGTTCACATTACTTATCAATAATATAAATTGAACAACATGTCCTAAAGGTTGTTTCCTTTAAAATTGTATAATTCTCAAAACTGCCCATCACTCATCAGTTCTTTACAGAAAAGTGTCATTTCCACATAAAGCCACCAGCGCAACATAAGTAAAACCCCAACAACGCACACACTGCATAGTTAAAAACAGGTGCATTTCCTTTGCCAGTTACTCCTGTCTACCTCTGAGTTCATGGCCGTTCCTAACTGACATTTCAAAACCAACCGCTTGAAAACAAAGCCAGATTCTTGCACTCACAGTTTGTGATCTTTAGGGTCCTCTTGACTTCCCCACTTCCCGATCCCCCACAGCCGTCTTCGTCATCACAGTCTCCACTGGACTGCTCCAGCATGCCCCCACCACTGCCTGGCTGAAGCAGCTCCCTCGTGTTGGGTTTGGGTGATCGACCCTGTAACAACTGAACATAGACCACAACAATGTATGTATTAACAACAAATGCGTATTTTCTTACACATTTTAGGCAGAAATTAGGATGATTCTCTTATATGAATTCACTAGTTCAGTGCAGATGCCTTACCAAATCAAATCTTCATCATTTAAAATAATAACTGGAACACTGAAAAATGATGGGCAAAATCTGGTGTCAGCAAAGAGCAACAGTCCACCTATTAACTCTAATGGGAGGGTTTGGATAATGTTTTGGAAAACAAATTTAGGCTTTGTGCTTCTAAGTGCTTTGACTCAAAGACTCTATATTTCTGAATAAGCAAAATCTAACCCCAGTCAATTGCACTGTTATACAGTAGGACCCTCACTGGGAAACCTTGGCTGAATGTCTTGTACTAGATTATAAACTGACAATCCACATTTCTCCAGACATAGAGTGCTATCACTGCAGAACAGAATTCATCAACAAGTATAGCATTTTGGACAGACGTATGTGCAGAATCATTTAACATTCCTCAAGTTAGGCATCTAGTCCAATGCAGGGTAGATTTAAAGCCCAACTTACATTTCTGCAATGATTATTTTTTTTAACTCCAAAGTTCTTAATTCTCATGAATTTCATTTACTCTTTTTGTTTTGTTTGTTTTTTTCGAGACAGGGTTTTTCTGTAGTTTTGGTACCTGTCCTGGATCTCGCGCGGTAGCTCAGGTTTGCCTCAAACTCACAGAGATCCACCTGGCTCTGCCTCCTGAGTGCTGGGATTAAAGGTGTGCACCACCACTGCCCAGCAAATTTCATTTACTCTTAAGAGCAAAATAAATGCAATAGTCGTTTTCCTTACAGACTAGAAAAGCTAGTAATATTTTGAATAATATCAAATATGTTGGGACTTCTTTCTAACAAGGTGATGATATGAATAGCAGAATATTTCACTTAAAGGTAAGACATAAAAATAATCCTAGATGTGGCATTTACTTCTTTAAGGCAATTTTGAGGTGCATATGAATAAACATAAGAGAATGGGACACTGATGTTATAAACCTCTGTTGTCCACTTAATGGGCATTTAAAGTATGTTTCTTTCCAAAGGACTGAGGAGAGGAACTTCAGTGGCATTAATAAACAGATAATAGTGAGACATTCATCTGAATGACAGCATCTGTGGTGGTATTTTGTCACCAAAATATTGTGTACCTTAATAAACTTATCTGGGGTTAGAGGGCAGACAGCCACTAGATACAAAGGCTAGAAAATGGTGGCACTCACACCTTTAATCCTAGCATTCCAGAGATAGAAATCCCTCTGGATCTCTGTGAGTTCAAGGC